TCTTTCTTTCTTTCTTTCTTTCTTTCTTTCTTTCTTTCTTTCTTTCTCTCTCTCTCTCTCTCTCTCTCTCTCTCTTTCAGAATTGCATTGAAATCAGGGTATGGAAAATACCTCGGCATTAATTCAGATGGGCTTGTTATTGGACGTTCTGATGCAATAGGTGCAAGGGAGCAGTGGGAGCCCGTGTTTCAAGAGGCAAGTATTCAAAGTATCACATGTGTCAAATAAAGTCACAGTGATTTGCTCTGAGCCAGACTCTAGTTGTGTAGGTCTTGGAGTTGACTGAGGCATAGTCTAGCAGAGTTATCTGTGAAGGGCTTAAGCCTATGAGTACAGAGGAAGTGAATAAATCCTCAGAATTATAGGCACAGCCACATGGTTATAAAATTCATAGCCTTCCTGTTTCATCAAGGTTCTGGATCTGGGCAAGAATGAATGTGTCCTCCACACCCACCCTCCAGGAAAGTGAAGATCTGCTGATTTTTAAAGAGGCAATGGTCTACCATCTCAAGAAACTCAGAAAATCCAAGTCTGCAGGACAATTTTTGTCCTCAATTTTCCTTTTTTATGGAAAATTGTAGAGAATGTAGTTGGTTTGCAGCTTTAGAAAGCTTTGGAAGAAATGGGTTGTCTAGGTCAGGAATTCTGGGAGTTGAAGTCCATAGGCCATAGATTCTCAGCCCTGAGATATTGGCTGATTACCACCTAGTGCTTCAGGACATAAGGTCAGGCTATTTGCTGGACCCTGTTTATCCCAACCAATGAAATGTACCTGGGCGAGTGTACTCTACATACATTCTAAGCAACAAAGTCCTGGTAATACTCTGTTGCATTCTCTGTTGCAACAGTTTCTCTTTCCAATAGCAATAATTCCTGAGATCTGGACGACCCCAATTTCTGTTGGCTTTCTGTAAGACCTTGAACTCCTGGTTCTTCCCTCAAGATTAGGCAAGAATGTTAGATGGACCGATTTTGTAATACAGTGGTTGGGAAGATGAATATGATTATGAGCTCAGTTTTATTTTCTCTTTTGTGATTTCACACTTCTGGCTGGTTATTTTTTCTTGATTTTAATCCTACTTTAGCTATGCAGATTTGCATTTTGAGTTGGGTGGCTATACAAAAACATGCGAACAATAAATAATTTGGGCAATTCATAGCCTCTTTAGTTACATCAGATCAAATAGCACACGATTAGAAGATTGCCAGAGTGCTGTTCAGGCAGGGAAGATTATAATGGGCTTGATTGTCAGGACAAACCTCTGTCTTCAAGCTAGATATCATGATTTTGTTCTTCAGCAGCCCAGTTACAACATATTTTCCTTTTCCCCAACTCTAGAGAAGAGATATCTGCACAAATTGGCAAAGAAATACTTATATACAAATGATCTTTATTGTAAGTGAATAATGGAAGTTTCCTACCTATCTCTTGACTATTTAGGGATTTGATTGTCTCTATTGAAGAAGTGTGGATTCACCTTGGACTAAATGGATGAGATATCCTGTAATAAGACAACTACTTACGTTACTGAGACCAAAATGACGCTATTGGAACATTTACTGTAACACATTTTTTGAAGGGGCTGTTTCATACTGACACCTGGAGAAGCACGTTATTGAAAATAATTGTTAACTTGTTGAATTTAGGACTTCAATTTAAATTTGTAATAATGTTCTAAAATGCTGTGTTGTAGCACTAATAAAGTGAGGAGAAATGGTTATCCAAAATCCATGAACATGCATATATGTTCAGGATCAAAAATAACATTAATGGGTTTGGGAAAATATTCCTGAAGAAGTAATCATCTTTAAATCTTGTATGTGAACCTTAAGCAAATAATCTACTAATTCAACTTTTTGTTTTTCCGTTGCAGGGAAAAATGGCTCTGTTAGCAGCCAACAGCTGTTTTATTAGTTGTAATGAAGAAGGTGATATAATAGCCAAAAGTAAAACAGCAGACAATGATGAAATGATAAAGGTAACTCTTGTGATTTGTAAATATAGGTACTTCTATAAGCAGTGTTTGAATAACACGAATGCAGAAACCTAAAACTTACCACTTAATTCACAAAGATTTGAATTTTCTTCTTCAGAGGGTGATGGTTACAAAAACTGGTTGATACACATGTACCCTTTCTGGTGTTTTGCCTATAACATGTACCATTTCTGATCATTTATTCTTCAGAAAGCCAGACAAGGAAAACTTCCTTTGTCATCTGGTTCAGGTTGCCCATTTTAACTGGCTTGAACTTCAGTACTTTCTTGAGAGAAAAATGTGATCCTCAGCAATTTTAGATGAAATAGCTTTAGCTAAATGCTTTTTCCTTAATTTAAAGTACAGGTTTATATAGCAGAATTGATAGAATCCGATGCCTTAATGGAATCTCGAAATATTTTAAATATTCAGAAAATATTCAGGCAGTTGCATGGCAAAAGGCACTGTCTGTCCCACCAACAGTGATTAGACTTAATGCTGGAAGAACAGTTGTACAATCATGCATTTAAACTAAATCCTTGTTATCTATATTCCTTGAATCAGTCTTATACAACTTAGTATATCTGTTGCTGAGAGCAATAGGAACCCAATACTCTATCAAGTGGAAAGAAAGCTGCTCTTTTTCTGAGGAATTTATTATGAGATGTTATCAAAGTAGATTCTTCACAGACTGATGCATACTTAGAATTAGTGAACCTGAATAGGAAAACTTGAAGGAAAAATACCAGAAAGGAAGATAAATTTGAAGTTGGACTTTTCAAAAATTGAAATTTTCTCTCCTCATTTAGATCAGAACATGTACAGAAAGAGAAGCCAAACAAAAAGAGGACATTTCTGAAGAAGATAAAGGAAATGTAAAGCAATGTGAGATCAACTATGTGTATGTAACATACATTTCTTCACTCTCCGTAAAAGATAAAAGCAAGTTGTAATTTCACTGATTACACTGAAATACTTCTTATCTGTAATAACATATATTTTTCCTGTGGTGAAAACTTTTCAAGAGATCTGGCCTGAAATTTCTGAATAAATTTTATGCTTTAGCTGCTGCTAGGACCCCAAACTGAACATAGTTTTTAAAGATTTGCTTTTGAAGAACAACTTGTTTTCATAGAATAAGATAAAAAATTTTGCAGCTAAATGCAAAATAGTTATTTTTACCAACTTGTCTTAAGGTTTATCATTGGGGATCAATCCATTAATGGGTGGACTGTTTAAAGCTATTTTACTGTTCAGATGTCTTAAATATGTTTGTTCTACACATATGTGCAGCATTCCTCCCACATCCCTTTTATTAAATCATGAAACTGACCTTCTCTGGCGTATGCTGCTAATGCTCCTAAGTAAGAACTGCAATATATGCTGTAAGACATATTTCCACACTGTTCTGGTTTGGATTTAGTTCTGCCCTTGTACAGGTAGTCCTCGACTTATGATCACAATTGAGCCCAAAATTTATGTTGCTAAGTGAAAGATTTGTTAAGTGAGGTTTTCCCCGTTTAGAGAATTTTCTTGCCACAATTGTTAAGTGAATCATTGCAATTGTTAAGTTAGTAACACGGTTGCTAAGTGAATTTGGTTTCCCCATTGACTTGGCTTATCAGAAAGTCACAAAAGCTAATTACATGAGCCCAGGACCCTGCAATGGTCATAAATATGAACCAGTGGCCAAGCATCTGAATTTTGATCATGTGATCATGGGGATACTGCAGTGGTTGTGAAAAAAATGATCGTGTCACTTTTTTCAGTGCCGTTGTAACTTTGGTCATTAAATGAACTGTTGTAAATCAAGGATTACCTGTATTGTATAATCCATGTAGTCAAGAGGACAAACAAGTCAGTTGACTCTTTACTTGACCCCAGAGTTGACTCCAGTTTCCATTTTTTTCTATGCTAAGTGATACTTTATAGTCTATAGCTCTTGGAAAAGTTAATCTTTACAACACCCTTTATTAAAATATTTCTGTACAATGAGAATTCAACCAATTATTCTGATTTTTTTTCATGCTTTTCAGTGATCTATATTTTGCTTTCCATCTTTCAATAGTCAACGATTAAGAATCACCAGTAGAAAGGAAAAAATACATATCATTCAAATCAAAGGCATTAATCACCTATGTTTTATTTTCTAGGAAGAAGTTTCAGAGTTTTCAAGATAACAAACTCAAAGTAAGCCAAGAAGATAGTAAAATTCTGAAAAAAGCTAGGAAAGAAGGCACTTTCCATGAAGCACTGCTGGACAGGTACTCTTATTTTGTTTATTATTTTTTTCCATATACAACTCAAGGTGCCAAACATACCAATATTCTTTCTACTTCATATTTTGCCCACCTGTGTAGTGAGTTCAACTGAGAGAGAATGACTGGCCCTAAGTCGTCCAGTCACCTTTCATGCCTAAAGTGGAACTAGAACTCATAGTCTACTGGTTTCTAAGCTGGTGTCAAATTATTTAAACCAAACTGATTAACAGTCTCAAAGCAACCATTTTCTTAACTACAGGATAGAGGGTTTCATGCAGCTTTTCCTAAACTAAGTACATATTTGCGCAGCACAAATTTTATATGAAAATATTCTATATACAAATAAAATATTAAATATAATTTTATTTCTGCTTACTTTATATTTATTTATTAAATTTATATCACTATCTTAAATATAATCTCACAATAAAAAATATAAAAAACAATAAAACAATCATGGCTCCTACAAACAAAGCAGCACAAGCCTCTCCCTTTGTGTTTCATATGAAAATTGGAATCAATACTTAGGAAGCATTTAAGATTATTCATTTTCAGTGGCGGGGAGCTTGATATTATGATGAAATTAAAAAGAGAAAGAAAAGCATTGTTCAAAAAGCATTCAGATAGCCCACTCTTATTTTTTCTCTTGGTGCATGCTAAGTTTACTTAAACATTATTTTTAAGCTTAAAAATAAAAATTTATAAAATTGACAGTAGTTACGGACCTTCTATGAAAAAACTAAACAGATGGTAGTTAAACCTTGTTTGGGTGGGAGGAGGAGATCTATTTGTTTTTCCTGTGTATGAGGGTTTCATATTTTATATGAGAGTATAAGGTTAGGATAGGCACCTACATTTTTATAGTCATTTATATAATGAGCTTTTTGCTCTCTCTTTTCCAACATCTCCTTCCAACACTGGCGATTTTGGCTGTTATTTGTATATTGTTTATTCTTGGTGTTCTAAAACTGTGATTCAGAAACCCAGAGTCGTATATGCAGCAGTATCAATTGAATAAATAAATAAGGGGCATCATTCATTTCCAGTCACCCACAAACCCAAACAGAAATTATTTAAAGGACTTCATTGTCCTTTAACAATTTACATAAAATTTCATATCAATTATACCCTTATAACAAACTTTTACATCAATTATATTAAGTTTGCTGCATTTTACGACCTCTCTTGCCACAGTTATTAAGTGAATCACTGCAGTTAAGTGAAGTTGTTAAGTGAATCAGGCTTCCCCACGGATGGATCTCACATGATCTTGGGAAACTGCAACCATCATAAATAAGAGTCAGTTGCCAAGCATCTCAGTTTTGATCACGTGACCATGGATATGCTGCAACAGACCTAAGTGTGAAAAAGGATCATAAGTCACTTTTAACTTCAAATGGTCACTGAATGAACTATTATAAGTTGAGAACTACCTGTAGTAAAGCAATTTGAAGATTCATTGTGGGAGTTCATATGGGTGGTTTTCTTCTTTCTTCATTAATTTTCAAACAAAAGCATTGACTAACAGGTGTTTCTCTAAAAACAATATATACTATTGTATTTACATTTTCATCTGAAAAATCTAAATAGCTTGCTATGTCAATTTTTAAATTTTTTGATCACAATGTTTCACAAAATACATACTTTTGAGTATAAAGCAGGCTGGTATTTTTGGAAGGATGTCAAGCTCAAACTACTGTCAAAAATCCCACAACAGCCCAGTTTACCTATGAGATGGGACATGTTGCTAGATTTCACACTTGATATATTTCAGAATGGTACATTTTGCACAGTCCTCCTTATATCAGTGATAATGTTGATTTAGTAGAAATTGTTCCCATTGATTCAGCTTAAATCATAACTGCATTATGTCAACCATTTTAATCCATCCTTTTCTTCTTTTTTTAGGAGAGCAAAACTGAAAGCTGATAGATATTGCAAATGATCAGAATTGTGGTGCACTTTTTTTCTTTCCTTATTAACAGCTTTGTGTATGTGTGTGAATTTTTTAAAATAAAACAGATTTGTCAAAGTAAATCTCAATTATTCTAAGATCTTGTTATTTCTTTAGGAAGTCAGTCCTTGTGTTAATATATTTAATATTTTCATATTTATAATTAGCATTACATTATAATGGCTGCAAGATTATCAAAAAATAAGCATAAATATGCACAAAGTTTGCAGATCTTATACATAGTACAACATATGGCTCTGTATGGCTTAAAAAAGAGCCAAAGGGGACAGATAAAATTAAGCCCCATGCCATTAATGTCATTGACACCTTTTATCAGCCAAATAAAATTGTTCTAAAGTCTCCTCCAAATATTATAGGAAAGTAATATTCCCATTTTTATATTAGGTGCAAAAACAGGGTTCTACTACAAAAGAAGAATATGCTGTTGATATTGAACATATGCAGGATGACCCATGAAAGTTGCTCCAATAAGATTGAATTCACAGGTACTCCTTGACTTATAACAGTTCATTTAGTGACCATTGGAAGTAAAAAAAGCACAAAAGTGACTTCTGATCACTTTTCACACTTAACTGTTGTAGCATCCCCACAGTCACATGATAAAACTTTGGATGTTTGGGAGTTAAGTTGGTTCATATTTATGACCATTGCAGTGTCCTGGGGCTATGTGATCACCTATTACGACCTTCTGACAAGCAAAGCCAATGGGGAAGGAAATCACTTATAACCGTGTTATTAACTGCAGTGATACACTTAACTGGGGCAAGAAAAACTGAGCAAAATTCATGTAATTGTCATACGTCAAGGACTACAGCTAATTTAGATATAAGCTATGTAAGCTGACATATATCAAAACTAAAGATTTTGGATTAGGCTTTTTAAAAGGCAAATGGCATTTCAGCAAGAGGATTATACGGCATTCCAAGAACTGGATTGTACTTTGACCATTACCAGAACAGCAGTGATTGAATCAACTCCAGTTTCCAGAATTCTACAAGGGCTGGTCTATTAAGGTATTTAAATTTATATTGCAAATGTTTGATTGCAGTATTTTAGTATTGTTAACCATTGAATCTCAAAACAGTGACAAGTATTAAATAAATAAATAAACATAATATAAAGCAATAGCAAGACTAATATTAATAAATCAAATGTATTATTTCATTCTCTATAGGCTCTCCAAGGGGGCTCAGTGGCTGAGCAGTTAAAGACTCTGAACTGTCAGCTGGAAAAAAACTTGCCCCAGCTCCTGCCCACCTAGCCAAAATGGGACAACTCGCTGCAGACAACCCGTGGGTTAATTAACCATGGGACAATTCAGATTCATTTTAATTATTTAAAATAATTTAAAAATATTATAATTTTTGTCATTCACATTTCATTTTGTCCCTTTTGCACCCTTTCTTTAATCATTTCTTCAATATTAGTGTAACTCTTGACCCATGGTGAGTTGTCCCATGGCGAGTTGGCCTAGACCCCCAACTAGCAATTCCAAAGCATGCAAATACTAGTAGATAAATAGGTACCAATTTAGTGGGGAGGTAACTAACTGTTCCATGAACTTTGGCGTATACTTATGCTAGCCACTTGATTATGGAAGTGTCTTCGGACAATGCTGTCTCCCCAGCTAAGAAACAGATTAGCACCATCCCTAGAGTTGGACAGGGGAAACTTTTACCTTTACCTGGCTCCAAAAGTTTACAAAAAAGTAAAAAAATGTTAGTGAAGTTGATTCCTACCAAAAAGCTTTTCCGTAGTGCAGACATTTCCCAAAGGAAGCAACATCAGCAAGTTTGGTCCCCTTGCTTCACAAAAGTTTTTTTTTTTTTTCAAGAAATGCAGTCTAATTTGGATAAATACAGCCTTTTTGTGTAAGCTATGATGACACTGTGTACATCATGATAATGTCATAATCTCAGGACATGCAATTCTGTCCTGAGAAGAAATACTTCTCTCTTCTCCAGAGCTGCTACTCTGATAACTACATACAGCTTTTTATGTTTGTGCCTTTGATTCATTGTTGACTCTTGTGATTTGTAAGTCCCTGCAGTTTCTTGGCAAAATTTCAGTAACTGTTTGTTATTGACTGCTTCCTATGACTGAAAAAGAGTGACTAACCCAAGGTCACCCAGCCAGCTTTGTGCCTAAAGAGAGAGGGCTCCTGATTTATAGCCTGGTGCCTTTAACTACCACACTAATCTGTGACACACAAATAAGCACATATTTTAGTCCAGTGTTCACTGTCTTTATATTATATTTCTGCTATGTAAAAAACTTACTTATGTGGAAATACATTAGGGGAGTTTTATCACTAGTATTAGTACATGTGATCTGTATTGCATAAAATTCCTATCAAATTTTGCATTATTTTACCAGAAACATTCCGTTCAAACAAATCCTGACATTTTTGTATTTATGCTTTCAAGCTTTACTGTCTTATATTTTCCTACATTTTTAGATTCCTCCCCTTTAGAATTCTAATGTTTCAAAAGATCATACAAAATATGTACAAAATGGTGAAGCTTGTACACTGTGGTACACCTTTCCCAGTAATCCACTGAATACAGAGGTGATTATGGCAGAGTAAAGATAGATTACACCACTGGTAGTCAACCTGGTCCCTACCGCCCACTAGTGGGCGTTCCACCTTTCATGGTGGGCAGTAAGGGTTTTGTCTCCTACTTTATAAATCACCATTACTGTGGAACCGGTGGGCAGTTAGAAAATTTTACTACTAACAGAGATACAAAAGTGGGTGGTAGATATAAAAAGGTTGGCTACCCCTGGACTACACTGTTGTTGATCAGTAAAGTAACATACAAGGAAATTATCTTTCCAAACATGCTAGAGCAGGGGTCGCCAACCTTTTGGACCTCAGGGACCACCAAACTCATAATTTTAGATCCCAGAGACCACTAATCAGTTCTGTAAGCATGGCCTAATTTGTGGGTGTGGCTTGGTGGTCATGTGATTGGCTGGGCATGGCTTGTATGTAAATATATTTATATAAATATTGAATTTTTCATTTAAAAAAAGAGCAACTTTTACCCAAAATCAAGCAAAGCAGGCAGGCAGATTGAATTGCTCACAGAATCACAGATTCATTCAGAGATCTATCTATCTGCCATTGTCACAGCTCAGTCTGTCACATAAAATTTGCTTGCAAGCAAACTCATAAAATTTGCTAGCAAGCAAACTCACAAAATTAACTCACAACACACCATGCATGTAAATATTGAATTTTTTATTTAAAAAAAGAGCAACTTTTATCCAAAATCAGGCAAAGCAGGCAGATTGAGTTGCTCACAGAATCATCCAGTGATCTATCTATCTGCCATCGGCTAGCTCAGTCTCTCAAATTTGCTTGCCATGAGTCTGCACTGAATTTGCTTGCAAGCAAACCTTCAGTCCTAAGGGAGGTTCGGCTGTGCTAAGTCGAATATCTAAAGACTAGCTAGAAAGCAAGACATCCAACCATTTCCTGCTTCCTAGCTAATCTAAATCTCCCTGCACAGCAGAACAGATGATGGTCAGAAAAAGGAAAAATAGCAATTTAGCAGGCAAGTTTACCAGGTAAGGAGTGAGTAGGCAGGGAGGGTTCCCGCAGGCCATGTGGGCTAAGCAGCCTTGTGTTTCTATGCAGCCTGGATTAATTGCTTTGTGGGGTTTCTCTGGGGGTGAGATTTCTCTGCAGCCCACCAAAATTTTCTCACGGCCCACCAGTGGGCCATAGCCCACCGTTTGGGGACGGCTGCCTTAAACACCATCAAACATCCACATCTGCCTAGGTTCTTGGGAAGGACTCGATAGATGGACAAAAATGTCAGTTTAAACATCTGGCTGATTCAGCAAAGAATCATCATAACATCCTGTTTGATCTTATCTCTTTTTAGTCAATGAATACCACCTACATATAGGAGTTGGCTAATGTAGAAAAGGCCATTCACACCCTCCTTTGGTAATCTAAAGGAGTGCCTTCACAGAAAATCCAATTTCTTGTCACTGGATTTTTCACTACATAATACTTATGGAAGAAAGGACAGGTGGAGCAAGGTGGTTTTTATTTTTTAATATATTGTTTTGGTGACCTAGTTTGTCTGTTGGACAAACAATAGTCTTGAATGTACTATATTGGACAGCTTTTTTAACAAATTATGTTTATAATTAAATATGGGAAAGTAACATTAAGGATATTCATTTTTTTCATTTCTGATGTTTTCAGATATACTGATTATGCAAAGTATTTAAGTTCAAAGAAACATAAGTAATATTTGTTTCTTTAACCAAGGGCCATAACAAAATTAAGATATGTATTAAAGAACTGTTTTAATGATACTAGTGCATAGGATAAAATGAAAGAGATCCAAAAGTGCAGCTGATAAATTTTCATGTATCCATGGCCCAAGAATTAGAAAAAGAGAAATGCTAAACAAAGACTTTTTCAATTAGACTGCTAAAATACAATTATTGGCAATTACAAAAAAACTAGTTTAAACCAGCAGTTGCCAAGCAAAAATTGTACTGGGAACATCTTATTTTTCAAGCCGTAAAAAAATTGAAATCAGGAAAGGCAATGAGGAAAAAAAATTCTGGGAATCAGGCCAAGATTGTACCTTAGTATTTTTACATGGCCCACTTAAGAAATTGGACAAGCTGACAGACATGAGAAATAATAATTACCAATGATTATTAATATTAATAATCAATCCATATGAATAATCATCAGTTTTCAATGAGGAAAAATCATCAAATGATTCAAACAGAGGAAACAGTACATCATATACAGGTAGCCTTCAACTTATTACCTTAATACCTACATAGGCTAATAAATTAAGGTAATAAGCCTTAACTTATTACCAATTTATTTGATCCTGGGATTACGGTCATTGCGATGGTTTGGAAAGTTCCCCACTTGATCACTTGCTTAATGGCCACAATACCAGTTTTCCCCTTTATAGTCCTTAAATAGAGGAAGGCGCGTCGGGGTGGAGGAAGCCTTGGATAGCCTAGTGCAAGACTGCACTGCAGCATTTCTCCAGCTCATAACTGACCTGCATCAGGCCTCCTTCCACCCACTGAGGCATCTCTTGCGTTGTTTCGTCTCCCGCTGGGTCCCACACCCTTAGGCTCTTTACTCATCACACCTCACTACACTCACCTCTTTCCAAAAGAGTGGCCAGTTGATGTGTTGTACATTGTCTTCTAGCAGAAGCCACCTCCTGGACATGGGTGACATACAGTGGTGTATTAACCATTAAGCAGACTAAGCACGTGCTTAGGGCACCAGGCCCAAAGGGGACACCACAAAGTTGGGAATATGGTTTTGTTTGTACAATATGTACAAAGGAGGGGGGCACCAAGATTTGTCAGTGTTAGGGGACCAGTAAGCCTTAATCCACCACTGGCGACATTTGAACCATCCCTCAGGAGAGAGAGAGAGAGAGACATTGTGAGAATGGTAGCTGCTTTCTGAATGGTGGGAGGTGGTCTCTTTAAAAGGCAGCTTAATTCTCCTTCCAGAAGACAATCTTTTCAGAAAGAGAAGCAGCAGATGCAGCTTTTTACAGAGGTCACTTCATGCCATCTGGAGGCAAGTGTCATGTGGGTACTGGCCGCAATTCTTGGATGAAGACAACTGTAGCCAGTCCTAAAATGGCACCCACTCTGGGATAATATGGAACGGCCCCTGTATGGACAGGGTGCATGGTGTATGGGCTGTTTCTCTTTCTGAAAGGCGATTTTCAGAAGAGGGAAGTGGAACAAGGCATGATGGAGTGAAGAAGGCCCAAGATGTGGGACTCAGCAGCTTGAGCAACTGACCCAAGACCTTTGGACTCAGCTGGGTGAGAAGTAGGCCGGGGCAGAATGAGAGAAGATATGTGCGTGGGAGCAGTCACAGTGTTGCTGAAATAGATCATAAGTGTGTGTGGATTGCCAAAGACCCAAATTGTAATTACATGACCACAGGGTTGCTTCAGCAGCCACACCTTTGGTCACAGACTGCAAGTGCTTCCATTCAGCATAGAAATAATTTTGAACTGTTACTGAAGAAATGATGGTAAATCAAGGACAACCAGTATTCAGCTCATGCAAGATCACACCAACTGATTATAAATAGCAAGATAACATGGTTGCCAGAATGAATCACTGAAGCACCTGCAAAAATTATCATGTGCCAGTAGCAAAAAATAAGTGGGAATACATTTTGAAAATGAGCAAGTTAAAAGTCTATGGATATTCTCAATCATCCAGATCATGGTTGTCCCAGAGGTGCTTTTTCAAGAGGCAACTGGGCTTTCTTGGTTTTTTTTTTTTGTTTGTTTTTTGAAGACATTTCACTTCTCATCCAAGAAGCTTCTTCAGCTCCCCACCATCCAGCCAGAGCTGAAGAAGCTTCTTGGGTGAGAAGTGAAACATCTTCAAAGAAAAACCAGAAAGTCGAGTAGCCACTTAAAAAAGCATCTTTGGGATGAGCAAGTTAAAATATTGTGGGATTTCAAAATGCAAATCTTGATTCATAACACACCAAATTTAGTTATGGTTCACAAAAAGAAAAGTGTAGATAATTAAAAAGAAAAAAGAAAAGTGTGGATAATTGCTCCTGGTAGCAATACCAGGAGACAATAGAATATAATAAAAAGAATTGGAGATCACAAAGTGTCAAGATCTGAAAATTGAAACTGAAAGATTATGGGCTAAACTGGCCATAATCTGTTGGACAGCATTTAGAAAATTTCCATCTGTCAATTATAAAAGCCCACACTACTTGGATTCACACATATACCATGCTGATACATTACAACAGCCTATGTTCCTGGAAAGAATTTGGTGCATATGAAGACCAAGACTAGCTAAAGAACTGACCACTATGATTTCATATTTTTGTATATATAGTAATAATAATAAATTGAAATTCCACCTGATTCCCAGCAATCCTTTAATATCCTTTATTTTAGAAGTCTTTTTTTAAAAAAAGAAGTGATTGTGTTTAAACAATTTTTTTATTCAAAATTGATTTTCATTCTAGCTCATCATGGGTAAAACTTTGTTTCTGGAATACCCTCATCAAACCAAACTGGACAGCTGCATTATGTGCCTGGATTTATTCAATTATTGTAATGTAAAATAATTTAATGGGGGAGAATGCTACTCAGAGAAATACCATCATTTCATCCCTGCAAAGTATTTCACTTAGGAAAGTGTAATCAAAATGCAGTACAGGAAGGGGAATCATTGCCTTTACTAACACAACTGGTGGAAAGGTTAATGGAACAGAAGTTGATTACAACATGAATATGAATCAGCAATAATAGGCTGAAAAGTAAAACAAAACCTGCATGTTTAGGCTGCATTAATAGAACTATAGCTTTCAATTCATAGGAAGTTGTTGCACTTTATATTGCTTTGATCAAAAAACACAGTTCACCTATTAATGCTTTGGAAAATAGGTTAACCAACCTATCAGAACACACATCATGGAATTAATTATAAGTAAAGACTCTTGTCTGCACAGTTGCCCTAAAATTCTTGAACCACATGCCATCAGGTCTGCAGTTCCTCTTGTGCTACAAAATACAGCAGCATTTGGAACCTATTCCATTTTGGTACACTTTACCAAGCAATTTCATTAAAATCAGACTTCCTCAGCATGATGTCCTTCTGATACATTGGTGAATCCAGGAATGCCTTTAATAATTTTGCACTGATATTAATAAAAGCTAAATGGCAACTATCAAGTAGGCATCATTATTTGGTCTAGCCTAGAACCTATAACTATTTTCATGAAAGTTACATTTAATTCTTGCCAAATTCTAAGAGGAATTACTAAAGAGTTAATATAGACCCAGCAAGATTTTTGATAAAGAATATTCTGCAACCTCTTAGAATTAATTCAGTATCTATCCAGCTGCTGCTCCCCAAATTTCTCCCCCCCAAATTTCCTGACAGAATAATTAATCAATGGAACAACTTTCCTCCAGAAGTTGTGAATGGTCCAACACTGGAGGTTTGTAAAAAGAAATTGAACACCCACCCCTCTCCTAGAAAAATGAAATATCCTGGGAAATATTAAAAAGGCAGAATATTTCCCATAAAAAGAGTAGAAACTCAGAAGCAGAAACTCACCTCAGAAGTAGAAGCTCATCCCCACCTTTGTTAATGGGTGGGCCATTAAGGTCTGGGCCAGAATACTTTACATCAGGGGTGTCCAACCTTGGCAACTTTAAGACTTGTGGACTTCAACTCCCAGAATTCCGCAGCCAGCAAAGCTGGCTGAGGAATTCTGGGAGTTGAAGTCCACAAGTCTTAAAGTTGCCAAGGTTGGACACCCCTGCTTTACATAACAAAAATCTCCAGGTAAAGCTACAGCAATTGCTCAAAAGCCCTTTCAGTGCATCATCATCCAGCAAGGCTCAATCAAGCCTGGAACTCAGGACAGCCTTCAGAGTTGCCCCAGCATGGCCTCATGGGAGTCTGACAACCAATTAGAAACAAGCTTCAATTCAAATCCCAACAATGGTTATAAAACCCAGGCACTCTCAGCACCTCAGCCCTTTTCTTGATCTCTTCCTTCACCTTGAAGCATGTGATCATCCATCTTTTTCACTTTGGAGCTCCAAGCCATGTGGTCCTCCTGTCCACCATTAAACCTTCCAAACAGCCTCCATGTTTCCAGTGTCTTTTTCCCCACTTGGAACTGAACCCAGAAGGATATTTCTTCCAACAGGGCAGTGGTCGCCAACCAGTGAGCTGGGGTCCATTAGTGGTCCACAAGAAAATTTTGGTGGTCTGTAGAGAAATGTCATCCCCAAAGCACACACACCCCCAAAGCAATTAATCCAGGCTGTGTGAGAACACAAGCCAGCACTGCCTACATGACCTGCAGGAGCACAAGAATTGCATCGCTTGCTTTGAGAACAACATGAGGTAGTGAGGGAAGGGGGGAAAGGGTGGAGGGGGGAACTTGCCCCACTCACCACACCTGGCCACTGGGCTGCTTCTTTCCACTTCTTCTTCTGTTTTGGGCTACACACAAGGAAAGCAGTCTGTCTTTCCCCCAAACTCCACCAGAAATGAGTCTTTGGGACCCTGCAAGGCATCCTGCTCCATCCTGCACTGGCAAAGACTCATTTCTGGCAGAGTTTGGGGGAGAGAAAGAAAGACTACTGCTTTCCTTGCATGAAGCCAAAAGTCTCCCTCTCTCTCCCTCCCTCCCTCCCTCCCCTCCCCTCTCCCTGAGAATGGAGCTGGAGAGGGTATCCTGCGATCCCAAATAAAGAATGATCGATTAGTAGGAAAACAGGGTGGGGAATTTTTGTACAGATTTTTGGGGGATTTTCCCAGTCTCTCTCGTCCACGGGATTTAAAATTATGAGTTTGGTGGTCCCTGAAGTCCAAAAGGTTGGCAACTCCTGGTGTAGGATTTTCTACCTGAGCAGGAAATTGGACTAGAAGACTTCAAGGTCCCTTCCAACTCTGTTATTCTGTTTTGTTATTCTCCCACCCTATGGAAAATCATTAGCTGTAGCGATTTAAGCAATCATTCTATTTGGTTTACCAGTTGTGTTTTGATCACTATGAATAAAAGACAATCTAGGGATTTGGGCAGCAAACACAATTGTGCTACAGTACATTGGGAGGGGGGGAGAACAGATAGACTCTGTAGTCATATACAGATCCTCAGTAAATATAAATAATGAAGTGTGTAATCCAGAGGATAACCTTGTTTAGCTATTCTATTAAATCCCCACTTCCATCTCATAATATCAGGGATTGCATTAAAACATTCGGCAGTATAGAACACACACAATCATAATTGTAGCTTTTTTAATGACCATACTAAAAAAATTTCTTCCATTCTTCAGTTCTTTACTTGGCAAAAATAATGGTGACATAATTTACAGAGCCCCAATGTGGTGTCTGGCCTATTAGTGCTATCTTTATAGATTTATGTGGGACAGTTTCAGGGCAGTGATCAGTGAATTTTCCTGTTTTCTTTCTCCTCCCACTCAATGTCACTATTACAGTGTGTTTGTTGGGTAGGGGAACGGAGGTCAGACCACAGGGACTTCAGGTTGCTCCAGGTTCAGTCTGTCCTATTCAACATCTACCTGCAACTTCTGAAAGAGGTCATCTGCCAGTAGAGGATGAAGGATCATCAATATCAGGGGTGTCAAACTCACGTCACCACGGCTGTGTCATGTGATGAATCAGGATTCCCCCCCCCTAAAATGGGTGTGGCTGTGGCCAGCATGTGACGCATCCAGCCCGCAGGCCAGGAGTTTGACAGCCCTGATGTTACCCAGTGATACATCTCCACTTGTAAGACATGATGGAAATCATAACTGGTGTCTGGAAGCTATCAGGGTTTGCATGGGAAAAAACAGGCTCAGACTCAGATCAGATGGAGTAACTGGGTTCTCTGATTTTAAAACTATACTATTTATGACTCTTGATGAGATTGTGCTCCCTGAAAACAGCAGCACTGAAGTTGATCTCTCATGCATTTGTCATCTTTTAATTAAATTACTGCAATTTGTTCTACATGCAACTGCCCTTAAAGATCACCTGGAATCTTTAGCTGGTTGAGAACACAGTGACATGCATGGTTAGTGGTGTAGGGAGGGAGACCACCTACTTCCCAAAAGAAAAATCAGCTGGGGAGCAGTCACCCCAAAATAGGAAGAAGGCTTCTCTGAAATAAAAGGCATTCCCTCTCGTAAAACAGGGAAATCGCCCGAAGAAGCTTTTCACAACAAGCTGAGTGCGTGTGAATGGATGGATATTCAGTATCCGGACAACTCCATTCAAAGTGCTACCAGCTACAACTTTTAAGAGTCTGAAACTGAGCAGATTAAGGATGCAAAACAATGACACTTTATACCCAACCTCAAGGACAGGGCATGACCTCTCAGCCACAGTGGGAGTCAGGTAACAATAATTAGAAGGAAAAAAAAAGATGGGCATATAAATCACAAAGCCCTAGAACCACATAAAAACCCATCCACTTCACCAGACTGTTTTCTCAGCTGTCCCAGAACCAATCCCTGAAATAGTTTCTGATCACCAATAAAAAGAACCTTCTTTTCAAGCAGCTGCCTTCTCTCTCCATTCGGCAGCACCCTTGTTTCTCCCAGAGCCAATTCTTCCTACAGTGGTTACCCATAGTATTGCCATCTTATTGTGCAAGCTGAATATCCTAGTTGGTTTATTCAATGTGCTGGTCATTCCTATAAAGATCTATATGGTTCTGAGTCTGGATATCTATATGGTCAAACCACTGTTTTTACATTTGCTTCCTACAATCCACTTTTGTTCACCATCTTTCTTGATCCTATTTTTTCTTGTTTTACCTCCCAATTCTTAAGTACTGTATACCATCACATGCCAACTTATTTTTATATTTCTCCTCACTTCCAGAAACAACTTAGGTTTGTGGTGTCACTAGGGGATTGGGCATTATTGTGAGCTTTTTTTATTGCCTACCTTTTAATGAGTAGGCAATATTTAAAAATGGCAACACTTTCATGGAATCACATGAGAATACAGACTTAGCTGTCCAATAGTTTAAAAAAAGTCTATTCCTACTTCAGTGAAAATTGTCCTCTTCTATAAAGCTCATAGGTCAACTAAAGACCGTTCCAAATTAACAGCATGCGAAGAAATTTCCAAATTTAATTACATTTCCCTAGTCCATTAAATGAGCCATTACTCATTTTTTAAAAGGTGCTTCAACAGCTAAATGGGGTATAATGCTTTTGGACTGCTAAATAGATGGGGGTCACCTAGAATCAAATGATCTGCTCTTCAGACATGCAGTTTACAGGTCAATGGGCCTAAGTTTCTGTTTGTTTTTTTATTCCACTTCCACTGTCCTGCATCTTTCAGTTTCATAAGTTTTCAGATGTTAGAAACAAGGGGCGAATACTAGATAGATTCTGGGTAGATTAGGAAAATAAATCTCATGTTTTAAAATAAAGCAAATTCCAGTGCCTTTTAATTCCAGAGTACATAGAACCTCTGGTCACGACCATAATTAGTTCCATAACTTTGGTCGCAACCTGATTTGGTGGTGACCTGCATCTAATTTTGGAAATTTGGCACTTACAAAAAAAATGGTGTGGAAGGGGAAATTGGCCGCAAAAAAAATTGTGAATTTTTTTATCAGAACCTGATTTGGTTG